TTATCACCCAGGACCAAGTGACCTTTTCTGTTTTCTATCCTGTCTCTGGTGGGTCCCAGAGCTCAGACTCTACCTAAGGCAATTTTCCACATTTCTGAGTGGGGAACAATAAAGTGGGAGTGTCCCCCAGTGCTGTCCTTGTGCCCGCAGCTCTGCCAGCACAACTCGGTGGCACTGGGGCTCAGTGGGACATGCCAGCTCCTCTGAGCCATGGCCAGGGGTGGCCAGGGCACTGCCCAGAAGCAGATCAGTGATTTTCCAGCTTCCCTACAAAACGTGGGCACTGGCAGAGTCCATCATTCCCGGGGAAACCCCACAGGAATTGCTGCCTGTATCACTGCCCTGGGAGCAGGCAGAACACCAGGACAGGGGTGGGGCAGTGCCACCAAATCCACGGAAATCTCTCCTGATGTGATCCCATCACTGTGCTCAGGGTTGTTTTGGTTTTTTTGGGTTTTTTTTTTTCCCACTTTGAAATCCAAATGGTGCCAACAAACCAGAAGAACTGGGAGAGAACCAAGCTCAGGTGAAGGGGGTGGATGGGGAGGTGAATTTGGGAGGAAAGCACACAAAAAGTGAATGATTGCTCTGGAGGACAGACAGGAAAAGGTCCAGGGATGGGTGATGGTCTGGAGAAGGGCATGGCATGGTCAGGATGGGGAGAGGGTTTTATGGACCGTTATCCTGAGAGCTGCAGAGCAGCCAAGGAGTGGAAAATTTCAGCTCATCATGAAAGGAAGATGGACAATGTCCTCAAGGAGGTGTCCCCTGCACAAATGCGAGGATTTAATGAATGTTCGCCCTTTAAAGCACCTCCCTGGCCACTGCCTGCAGCTGTAAACCCACCCTCAAGGCACTGACACCTTTGTCACACACAGAGCTGTCCCCAGAGGGGTGAATCCCCGAAACCATCCACCAACAACCCAAATCCACACTAGGAGCTTTTCCTGGGCTAAAAACACAAGAAGAGAAGGACTTTCCATGGCATTTCTCCATTTTGGTGTGGAGGATTTGTGAGTGCAGGAGCTGCTCCAGAGCAGCCGTGCCTGATCCCTGATCCTGTTCCTGATCCCTGATCCCTCACCCTGTGCCTGGTCCCTGATGCTCTTCCTGGTCCCTGATCCTGGGCCTGATCCCTGATCCTGGGCCTGATCCCTGATCCTGGGCCTGATCCCTGATCCTGGGCCTGATCCCTGATCCTGATCCCTCACCCTGTTCCCAAACCCTCACCCTGTACCTGATTTCAGATCCTATCCCTGATCCCTGATCCTATCCCTGATCCCTGATCCTATCCCTGATCCCTGATCCTATCCCTGATCCCTGATCCTGTGCCTGATCCCTGATCCTATCCCTGATCCCTGATCCCTGATCCCGTGCCTGATCCCTGATCCCGTGCCTGATCCCTGATCCCATTCCTGATCCCTGATCCCGTGCCTGATCCCTCCCCCTGTGCCTGATCCTTGATCCTTTTCCTGATCCCTCATCCTGATTCCTGATCCCTGATCCAGTTCCTGATCCCTCATCCTGTTCCTGATCCCTCATCCTGATTCCTGATCCCTGATCCTGTTCCTGATCCCTCACCCCATGCCTGATCCCTGATTCCTGATCCCTGATCCTGTTCTTGATCCCTCATCCTGATTCCTGATCCCTGATCCATTTCCTGATCCCTCACCCCATGCCTGATCCCTGATTCCTGATCCCTGATCCTGATCCTGATCCCTGATCCCATTCCTTATCCCTCTGCCTGATCCCTGATCCTGTTCCTGATCCCTGATCCTGGAGCTGCCCCTGCAGGGGTGTCCAGGGGGGACCCTGAGTGCCAGCAAGGGCTGGGTGTGGATGGAAAGCTGCAAAATCAGGATAAAAAAAAGCTGCACAAACAGTTCCATGAGCTGCTGTCAGCGCCGTGCCCGAGTGGAGGACTGGCTCCCTTTGGGGCCGTGGCACTTTCTGCTCTAACAGAGGTGGAATCACAGCCCTGCTCATTAGGGCTGGAATCATTGAATTGTCATATCCATGCTGGAATCATTGAATTGTCATATCCATGCTGAAATCATTGAATAATTGCCACTGCAGACCCCACAAAACACAGGCAGCCCCACAGTGCCCCAGAATGCAAACCGTGGCTCAAACGCAGTCAGAGAGGGGAGCAGGAGGGAAAAATGGAATTGCAGAGCAAGGTGAGAGGATTTCAGCTCAACGTGAGCGTGCTGTCCCTGCCAGGTGCCCAGCTGCAGCCACCTGAGCGTGAGGAAGTGCGGGGTTGCACTGATTGTGTGCACGCACTAATTAGTCCCTGCTGGGCTTCTCCCATGAAATCCAATTTTAGGAGCAGACAGGCAAAGCAGGAGCTTCCCAGCCGCTGCCTGAGGACGGGGCTGAGTGTCCCTGTCCCCAGATGATGCCACACAATCACCAGAGAGCTCCTGCAGAGTCCCAAAACTCAAATGAACCCAAAATCCTGCAGAACCCCAAA